TTCAAAGGAATCTTTCTTCCAAGACTGTAGATTGCTTGACACTAGATTTGGCAAGCCCCATGAGGGAACCAAGTTCCAGGCCACTGTACTCTGAAAATTGCCAGTTATTCCCCATTTTCTAGTAGTAACTGTGCCTAGCATGGGGCTGGGGGTTGGGGTGGGTAATAGGGATCTGCTTACCTAACACACTGTGTTTCCATTCCCGCGGACCTGTTCCCCTCAGTTTCTCAAGCTTCCTGGTGGTATTTAGAGCAAGCCTATGGAGAATCCTGCCTTTTCTTTTCCCTCTCTTCCTCCCCCTCCCTCTTCACTCTCCCTTCCCTCCCCCTCCCCCCCTCCCCCTCCCCCCTTCCCATCTCCCTTCTTCTCTCCTCCCCCTTTTCAGAGGGAATTCTAAACTTCTTGGAGTTGAGTTTCAAATTTGTTGATGTTCACCCTGGGGTTTCATTATGATATATCCCTTTTGGAGGCCCACAGTGTCCGTATGCACTTCTTTAATTTCAGATAGCTTCAGAAAAAGCCAAAGGCAAGTATAAAAAATGTCAGATGCCCACAAGGCACTAGAAGTTCTGTTGTTTGTATCCGTGGTTTACCTCTGTGATGTGGGCTTCCGTCACAAACCGAAGCTCTTTGTCTGGGTTTCTGCTTTGCTTTTGGTTCTCACTGATGTTTTCCCAAACATTTATTAGGAGATTTAATTTGCATGATGAAAACTAATGAGAGATAAAAGACAATAGGCTGAAAATAAGAATTAAACTCGGAGGATACAGTTAAACATATGGGATTATACAAAAAATAAAAAAAAAAATCTTTCATTAGGAAATTTTCCAATAATTAAGTTGTGGTAACTTACCAACAATATATTTAGAATCTAAAAATCATGGTTGATTGGATTAGATCCAACCACTTATGAGAAATCTTAATTTCTGATTGTGTTCAGCTAGAACTCCTGTCTAAATTTACTTCCTGTGAGTGATGATGTGGGATATTGCACAGGGTTTCATCCTTGCTTATTTCTAACGTTTTGCATCCATCGTAGACCTTTAGGGGTAGACTCTAGTCCAGTCACTCATCTTTGGTCCATGTCTTGTTTCTCTATTCTCCTTGATAATACTCCATCCTTTATTTTTTTTTTTAATCTTAAAAAATAAATTTTTACTATAGTTTGGTAACATTTTTGAGGAAAGAGAAGTTAGTGTGCTAAATCTGTCATTTTATTCAAGGATGCAGCTTTTATTGTTTTAGTTAGAAACTGTGAATTCTAGCCAGTATGTATCCCGTTATGTGGAATCAGTATTCGCTGGTACTTACTGAAGGCAGAGTCTCCAAGATGATCAGAAAATGAATCAAGTTAGCTGCAGGGACACTGAAGCCAGGGCCACAAACACTCTTTCTACTATTCTTAACTCAAGGGGAAGATACATTGGCATGAAGTTTGGCAGCTGGCTATCAATAATGCAAAGGGAAGATGTTAATTTCCCACAAGTTTCTGGTTTCTTTTTTATCACTTAAGTCCATAATCAAGGGGACTGTGACATTTTTTGCAGTATTGATTTTTTTTTTCCCATTTGCAGAAAGATTGGAAATGACTTTTGGCTAAACAAGGATACAATCCTGGAACTTCTAGCTGATCCTTGTAGTGTAATGACACCATTTTTCTAATGGAAGGTGCCCAGAAGGGAGAGAAGGGAACCAACATTGATGGTTTAGTGATTCAGTTTTAAATATGGTGTGAAATTTCATCTTCACAAAAAAATTCCACAAATACTCTTTTCTAAATATGGTAGTTCTCAAGCCTAGGCTGAAAGGGATTGAGGAATACCACAGCAAGAACAAAGAGCTAAACTGAACAGTTCTCAAGTCCAAAACAGTGCTGGGGTTAGGGGCCTGGGTGAATGGCTGTGGACACTTATTACTGCACCTTGCTACCTTCTAAGGAAGCACATGACTGTTGAGTGAAGCCATTCAGTAAAGCGGCAAGAGAGGTTACCTTTCTATAATATCTAAGTATTATTTAGTGAAATGCAGTTATTTTTAGTTGCTTATTTCAGGGGTAGGCAAAAGCCACCTGTAAGAAGTATGGTTTTTCCACCTGCCGCCGCTGGTCTTGTCCCGCCGCCGCGCCAGCCCCAATTAACGCACAGAGACTCTGTATTTGATACAGTGCTGTTGGCCCGGTTACTTGTTTCTTATCGGATAGCTCTGCCTTAATTATTAACCCATTTCTGCTGATCTATGTATTTCTCTTACTGGGGAGCCGGGCGGCATACTGCTTTCTCCCGATTTTCCATCTTGGCTCCTCCTTACTACTTCCTTTTTCCTCCTTGTCTCCTAGTCCCTCCTATTTCCTTTCCTATTGGCCAACAGTGCTTTATTCATTAACCAGTATGAGAAACATAAACAGAATGACATCTCCCATCAGCCACCAATTATGCATGTAGTGGAAATGAGTTACACATCTTTGAAAAACAGCTTTTCTAGCTGTTGCTGGTGGATTCTCAACCATAAACATTCATCATCTAGCCACCTGTAGTTAGGGTACATTGGTTTGGTCTACACTCAGGCAAGAGTAACTCCGGGTGTTGATAATTGAAGGAGGTCAGAGGCATTGGAAGGAGTATTCTTAATTTCTATGAAGTTTATCTCCAGATTTAAGAAAATAGATAAGTATAGATTGGATTTTACTTCTCCACATTTGAAATTAAGAGGAAGTATTTTGCATAGTAGCAAGCTTTCCATGCGAACTGCCTGGATCACAGCTATATTCAGTTTCTACAACTTTTGACTTACTTCTATACTTAGGCCAGAACTTTCGGCTTTCCTCGACGTTCTCCAACTATTGAAACACTTAACTCTTGGCTTGGAGGGTCACGATTGCTGGATTTATCTGATAGTGTAGTCGAGGGCAATTTCCTTCTTCTGTCATTTGCCTGCTTGTTTGCTTTAAGGTAGTGCCTCACTCTGTGGCTCACACTGGAACTCACTGTGCATCCCAGGCTGGGCTGTAGTTTGTGACTCAGCCTGTTTTACGCTGGTGTTACAGCCCCCTCCCCATGCCTGGAGGATCCCCTTATCCCACTTCCGTTCCATTCCTTTGTACAATGCTCTAAAACTTCTTAACGCTTCTCTATTGTCAAAGAAGGAAGCAGCAGTCATCCCAGGACATTCTCCCAAACATGTGGCATGCATCACCATCTGTACCTTCTGCTTACTGACCCACTCATGTAACTTCTTGAAGAATAACCTAAAGTGAGTTGGAACCCCACACATATTCTTTATTTCTCTGCTTTTACGTATGTCTACCCCATAAAAAAATGATATATGTTGTAAAGGCACACTTTTTCTCTTTCACATTTGAATGAGGGCTAACTCATCATCTTCCTTTCTACACGCACCTTCTGAGTACTTCCCATTTCTGTCCCATGCATGGAGGGTAAAGATAAAAAGGCTTTCTCCTTGATGTGAGAAGGTTCGTACTCACTGAGAGGCTCACATAGTCTGACAAGGTGATGGATGCTCCAAAGACCAGTGTGTGCAGGACTTGAGGACCCTGCAAGAAAGAAGTGGCATTGATCTGTTCTCCGTAGTGGAAATCAACCCAGGGAATAATGTTCATGAAGGGGCTGTTTCTTTTTCTTGGGACCACCCCTGCTTTTTCAGATAAAAGATCAAAGAGGCTTCATGTGCTTCAGAGAACACCCTCTGTATAAATTATGTCATACTTACTATTTATTTATTCCTTTACTTTGAGAGTTACTCAAAATATTTTTATATATTTAAATATATTATCAAATATATTATCTTGTTTTTCATTTCTATAGCCCCCAACTTTATAATTTCATTTGTTGATAGTGAAGCTTTAAAACTAAACGTAATCCATGAAAGACTTGAAAACAGCACCACAGTCCTGTAGTTGATTGCTACTTTCTTGCTGATGGATTTGACATTTTTGTGTTAAATCATAGATCTAATATTGTAGCTGCACTTTAAAATAAGTAAGAAGTGTGAGCTTTTTTGTTTGTTTGGGAAAGGGGAGTATTTTTCAATATTTATATGAAAATGTTTATGTTTGAAGTAGGAAGGGTCTGCCCACTAAAGCCAGTGTGGCATTTTGCTGCAATTACAATTGTTACAATTACAATTGTTACAATTACAATTGTAACTTAAGAATTGCAATTCTTAAGTTACTCAAGGCTTTGATGTTAGCTTAATTTTTTTTTTATTTAGAAACAATCTTATGTTACATATCAATCCCAGTTCCCTCTCCCTCCCATTCTCCCATGTCCCCCATTTTCCCCCTTGATGTTACGACACTTAATGCTGAATTGCTTTAAAAATGACTTTGGTTTATAGCTACTTACCTTCAAGAGCCCTTTCTTCCTGTGCTCTCATGCATATTCCCTCCTCCTCTCTCTTCCCCTCTCCCTCCTCCTCGCCATCCTCCTTCAATTTTAGATAATTAATTCTGCCGTTACCCATCAGGCAGTAGCAGCATTTGAATAGTTTCAGTTTTAAAAAGAGCAAGCTATTGCAAATGTGCTAAAAGACCAGGCTGGTGTGTTCAGGAGGGAAAGGGTGAGTGCCCAGATCCCAGAATGATTAATTACTTCCTCGGGCTATGTCTTCATCCTATCCTCTGCAAATGCAGGCGTTTATTATCAGCTGCCAGTGAGCAGCTGCCCATTCTGTCATCCCATTGTTATTGTGATATTAGATATTACATTTTATATCAGGGCCAAGGAGGTAAAATACAGGTGGCAGGGACAACATGAGTCAAATAAGGCAAATATATATGACACCTGCTGAGAAGAAGAAGAAGCTCCTTGAGGCCACCAAGCAGCCTTATAGAGTGTACACTTACTTCTGTCCATGGTTGTACCCAGAGTCCCATAATGCCTGTAAGACTCCTTTTTTTTTTTTTTTTGCCCTTAGGAAATGCATTTAAGTCAGTCTAAATATGAGATACGTATTTCAGATTTTCTTTTTCCCTCCTCTCTCAGCCATCCCGTTGGGTATTCTAGTTGTTCGTGGAGACTGTGATTTGGAGACCTGCCGTATGTACATAGACCGCCTACAGGAGGTGAGCTGATTATCTTATTATTTATTATTTATTCTCTTTAGGTTTTTCCTTAAATGAGAGATTACCAACTGTATACATATATGCATATATGTATGTGTGTGTATTTCTAAAATGATGCATGACATGAGGAAATGGCATTGTGGCCTTGTTCTTTAAGCATATACCCTCTCAATTCTACTGCTGGTCCCCTCTGCTGCTTGCTGTGGGAGAGGATCTATTGGGTCAACTACAGGTGCTGATGCCCTGGTGTATCCCATTGCTATACTGTAGCTTGGAAATTCTGCCTGCTTGCCAGGCTACATAGCTGTATATTTTTAGCTATTCAGAATTTCAAAAGCACTAATAAATAATGAGAGAACCTAGAGATTTGAGGCCATTTGATGTTTTGTGTCTAGAACAGACTGTTCTCAGAGACAGCTAGACTTTGCTTTGTAAAATGAAACCTCTTCCATAGGAATGAGAAGCTTCTTATTCATGGGAATATATCAGAGCCAAATGGATAATTTGTTGACCTATAAATTCCCCCACTTAATCTGGTCCTGCCACTGAGAAACAGTAAGGGAACAGTTTCCTATATGACCTTCTCAAGAGTTTGACCTGAGCCAGTGAAGTCAAGAGACCCAACCTCAACATTACAGATCCTGTTGGTTGTTTTGCCAAACTGATGTGTACGGGGGTACTGTAGGTGGGGGGCAGGCAACCATCTCCGTCTCAGGAGTGGTGGAGGTGTAACCCTCTTCCCATCGTCACTTTTAGATGTTCCCATTAGAGCATCTTTCCTGATTGAAATCTCCGCAATTTAAAACCAATAGGTGATTTGAAGGGTTCTCCCGGAGGAATAACTCTATTCTATTCAACATGTAATGACCAAATGAGCATCAGTGAATTATAAATAAAGCTGATGTATAGTCTTTAAATCCTGTTGACTTGTGGCCACTTATCTTCGACTATTATATTATGTTTCACTAGAAATGAGTTTGGGTAGGAAGCACGTACTGATGGTTCTAAAAATTAATTTCACCCTTATAATTCTTACAGGTATAGGTATAACTGTGAACCAAAAGATATGTAGGGATAAATGCCAAAATTTGAATAACAGTGTGAGTGAGAAAGTCAATAAGTTTTATATTAGCTATTTTTAGTGTGGGTAACTATGTAAAGAACATCTGTGAACATTTAGCAAGCAACTTGTGTCCTAATGTAATTCTTAAAGAACCCGTAGCATCTCAGTTTTCAAAATAATACTACATTTTACTGTGGAGTGCTATACATTAAACCTTAATTTAAAAAAAAAAAAAAAGTGACGGGGAGATTTATAGACTGAGGAGTTGGCTCAGTAGTTGAGAGCCTTTGTTGCTCTTCAGAGGACTGTGTTCAGATTCCAGCATCCATGATGTATGGCTTTCAACTACTTATGACTCCAGGTCCAAGAGATCTGATATCCTCTCTAGTTTCCACAAACACACACATTAGTGTATATAGACACACAGACACACATATACACATATACAAATAAAATCTTTTTAAAAGGAGACTCACAACTAACACTACATTCTTTTATTAAAAAACAAAACAAAACACTCAAGTGATGATATTACTTCACAGTGTCAAAATGCATGGCTAATTATTTGGCTTTGGTGAAAATCAACGTAACAGTATTGGCGTGCTTATCACACAAATATTCAACAAAAATAGATTTAGGAGACAAAAAGGGAAGGAGAAGTTAAAGGTGACTTGGATGCAAAGCTGGATGACAAGCCCTTTTGGAAGCAGGTTCGAGGACAGAGAGGTCTCCAGGACTGCTGACATCTGTATAGAACATCAGCATCCTCGTTAGCATGGAAGCCTGAGGCTTGCGACTGTGATGACAGCTCAGTTATCAGACTTTATAAAGGCGAATCTGGCTTCAGAATCTCCTAGCAAAAACCCATTTCCTATCACGCCTGTCAGCTTGCACTTCATGATCACGTGATCAATGGTTAGCTTTATCTGGACTGAGGTTTATGGAAACTCCTGTTTGCCAAAGCATCTTGTAAGTATATGGTCATGCACATTTAGTACAAGATACATTCATCGTCGGCATTCAAGGTTTGCCCAAGAAGATTTCTCCATTAGCCAGAGAGTTTAGATATGAATGAAACCAGATCCCCGTTGTTTATTATAACCAGATCCCCGCTGTTAATTATAACAAAGTCATCAGTTGGCCACTGCTAATCTGTGAGCCCCCTAAGTTGTAAAACATGAATGACCTGTTTTCTCTCAATCCAAGTTAGCATGCTGTTGTTGTTCCTGGCATGAACGTTATTTGCCAACCTTGATGTGTCAAGAAACTTTTCAGATAAGCATGGTGACATTAAATTGTGAGTTCAGTCTTTGGGAACGTGCTCAAGCTAACTGTGAAATATGGACTTTTTTCCCTCATTTTTTTTTTTTTTCATTAGGACTTGCAGTCAGTTTCTTCTGGGTCACAGAGAGTTCATTACCAGGTAACTCATAATTGCTTCTACTTGTTCCTTTTGTTCCCAGACAGTCCAATTCCCTCTTTCACTTCTTGTGCAATTCAGAGTCCACATATCATCCTCTGATCAGCTTAATCCATAAAGAGCCCCATGAAGTTGTTACTAATTATTTTGCATTTTCCCGCTGTAGTCTAGTACAAATCTAAACCATAGACATTCTCTCAGATAATTTGGGAAAAATAATTTAAAAAATGAAGTGCTTTTGATTACATATACCAGATTTCTCAGCTCATGCTAACTTAGCAGAGAAAGTGCACATTGGGTCTCATAAGCACAAAACTAGATCAAGGTGGGATTTGCATATCAGTCAATTATGGTTCATGCTCCATTTTTCTGCTGATCTACCTGAATTGCTCTTTTTCTAACAATCTCACCCCTGGGCTAGAGACTATGCTGGTCCCAGGTGGCTTCCCTCACAACAGAAGAGGTGCTCTGCTTCCTAAGGCATTGACCCAAAGTTCTCTAATGTAGCAGGCTTCTCCCAGGCTTGTCTGCTGGATGGATATGATAGGCTACTTTTGGGGCTCTTATCTGACTGTATCAGCACACTTTACTTTGGAAATCTAGTCTCTTCCCTGCTCTCTGACCATCTTGTGTGGCCCACATCTCCTTATTCATCATTTTATCCACCCAGTTTCTCCCACATGGTATAGATTCAATGCATCGTTTTCACCCAGATTGCAAGGCAACCCTACATTCTCTGACTACCCCTGTTCTCTTAGAAACCATTGGCCCTTCCATGCTAGGAGGGATGTATAAGAGTTGTAACTTCCCAACAACTTCTCCAAGTAAAATCTCTGTGGATCACTTTATGTCTCTGTATGACAGGGAACTTGAATGTTGGGTTAGTCACATAATGAGGGCACACCATGAGAAATGTATTTAATTGTGTGGCTGCCAAGCTTGCACTTACACAAACTAAGGTAGCATGGCATTAGGGACACCAGGAGATACTATCTATGGGACCACCATGTGTACATGGTCCTTTGCTAACCATTGTCATGTAGGACTGTGGCTGTGCAAGCCCTCAGTTAGCTTGCTTGGGCTTAGATATCCATTTTTCTGTACTCAAAAAATTATAGTACATCTATCTATTTATAAAAACAGTAACAACTACAGTTTAAAGGAGACCTTGAACCCAGTGGCCTGAATAACAGTCTTTCTGTGTTGACATCTACTCTATACACTCAGCCAAGGCAGCACTTTTATCTTTAGACAGAATTACAGGGATGGCCTTGGTGTTTTTGTCTGTGTGTTCTATTATTCCAGAATATTCAGTCACTCATGCCTGTGATTGAAAGGAGAAGTCACTTAAGGTGACACTAAAATGATGGACCACTGAATCACTATGGGATGCTTTATGTCAACATTTTAAAGGAAAATTTATCAGCTTTTATAGACTAGAGCTGGTAGCTAATAGTTGGTATCAGGAATTAGACCAAAGCAAATCTATTATTTTAACAAAGGTTTATACTTTTTCCTCTTGGAAATTTTGACCTTTTACAATTTTGCCAAGATACTTTAAGCACTGATCCTTACTAGTTTTATGAAACTCATGAACTGATACACTAGCCTGTCATGTAGACTATTGTCATTCTGAAGTAAGAGTGTTTACCATGGGTCTTTAAAACCATAACTTCTTTATGTCACTTTGTAGCCACATGGATTAGAAGACAAATGACACCATAGAATATGATATGGGTATTTGTCTCATTTACTGTTAAGTAGTAACAACATGGAAAAATAGTAATGACTTTTTTTCAGAAGTATTTTTGTACTTTTTTGATGAGTTACAGTCAACTCAAACTTTGGTGTCGACATTGCCATGATATAAATGTCACATCAGAGGCTTTTTTGTACATTGATCATAGAGAATAACAAGGATGGCAATCAAGGATGGGTATCAGGACATCACCAGCCTCCTCTTATCATGCTGAAATGAAGGAACAGAAAGTAATCAGGGACCGTGTGTGTGTGTGTGTGTGTGTGTGTGTATGTGTACATCTGTGTGTATGAAAGAGGCAGAGGCACATATAGAGAGCCATGAACAGACAGAGACTATTCTAGAATCATCCTAGCACAAAGAGGGGTCTCCCAAACAGCAAAGGCGATCAAGTGGAGGCAAGAGGCTGCAGGGAATAAACTCACATTTTATTGAGATTATCATGGGAGGAATGCATTATAAGGATGCTGAATAAAGACTTCTGCTTTCAGCCACATTGATCTTTATGAATCTGTAAGAATCCAAGGGGTTTGGTGAGCAAATGTGAATAGTAAAGCCCACTCGAAATCCCAAACTTGGAGGTCAAGAAAGTGGGGAAGTCCTGAGCAAATGAGCAGTTCTTAGAACTGCAGGGCTGGAGGAGATCATCTGGGGTGAGTTTGGATACTGAAGACCCTCACTGCCATCCCGTATGTCCTCACCAGCCACAGCAGAGCACAGATGGGGAGCACAGTCAGTCACCAAGAGCCATGGAAATTGACCCTAGCAGCAGAGTGCTGGGTGAGATGAAGGTGACATCCAGCAGCCAATCACAGACTGCTTGGAAGAGCAAGGAACAGGGAACAGTGCCAGGTGCCCTTGAGCTGTGCGCTGACTTCTGCATCTTTCCAAAGGGCAGTAAAATACACGGATGTTGATGCAACTCTTTTTTTTTTTTTTTTCTTTCTTATGTAGAACATGACAAAACCATCCAATGGGGAATTTGATACTAAACTTTGTTTCCTAACCCAGAAACTGTAACATCAAGATCTCTGAAGTGGGAGTTGGTGATGTAGGAGAATAAGCTTCAGGAAACAGGACTGCAAAACGTTCTAAATACTCTCTAATGAACTCTGTTATATATGAGAGGGAGACTGAATAAGCATCACTAAGTTAGAACAACTTGGCGGATTCTTGTCAGCCCACTCATTGCTAGCTGTGGTTTTCGTTGACTTTTGCTGCTGTTGTTGTTGAAGTTAGGAAAACAAACAAAACAAAACAAACCCTCAAAGTTGTACGTGTGCCCGAGATGCCTGTGGTTGAGCCACCACTTATACGCTTCCCTGATTCCTCGCTTTCCTGTCTTCCTTTCCTAAAGTTCTGTGAACTGCCCACAAAGCATGGGGCTCAGAAACGGCACCTTGCATTCGCCTAACAAGACAGCGCGGGTCATACAAGAATGTGCTGGCTGTTTACAGTCTGCTGAAAGTTCTAGCACACACATCTCTGATGCCAAAATACAAAAAAAAAAAAAAAAGCCCCTTCATGCTAATGACATCTGGTGTCATTTCTAACTGCCAAATCCGTGTGCAGGTTCATATCTTCTTCAGATTGGCAAATAAACTGGAATTAAAATAAATTCGACTTTATTTGACAAACAGTGTTTCCTGAGGACATCTGCCGTTAGAAAACTCCTTTTTTTCCCTCTCTCTCTCTTTAGAAATAATGTCCATTTGAACCCCAAATCATGAAGTGAAGAGGGAGTAGATTGTTTTGGCGTAAACTGAAACCAGCTTGCAAGTTAGAATGAACTCATTTTAATCCAGGAAAGATGCAGAGCTCAGGAAGGAACTTTTTGAACTCTGTTTTCCTTTCATGTCTATGTATGAGTGCCTGAGTGCATGTACATGTAACCATGCGTGAAATAGCCCCCCAAGAACTGCTGTTTCAATCTTTGACATTTTTCTTAAATTAGGAATTTTTTTTTTTTTTTTTTGTCCCAATATAAGGCATCTGGCACCTATATCTGCCTGTAGACATTTCTTGGAATCTACTGAGCAGAAGCCAATGGCATCATTAAATGTTTACAAGTACAATGAAGGGAAGTTTCCTACAGCAAAGAATTACCCTTCCTCAAATGTCAGGCGTGTAGAGCCCAAAGAACCCCTGTGTAGTTGTATTTTTCTTGGGACATGATGGGGGTCTATGGCAGGTGTGAAGTCTAGGTGAGGGACGTAGAAGCAGGAAGAAAGAGGAACTGGGAGAAAATACAGTCAGGAAGAATGAAGTCACCTGTAACTATGGGCAAGTATGTCAAAGAAAGCCAAGTGTACTTAGGATTTAAAAAGCATATTTATGTATGCCCTAAGTCTCGGCATTTCTCCAAGAAAGGCCCTATGGATCCTTGAATATTACCAGTTTAACCTGAGAAATTTTAGTGATTGTAACATTCAGTTGTAAGAGCGAAATGGATTTATCCAGGCGATTCCTTTGTCTAAGAATCGACTACCTTAAAAGAGTGAAAATTTCAGGAGCGTAGCTGGAACTGGGAAACATTATATTAAGTAAGGTAACCCACTCTCAGAGAGACCCAAGTGCTGTTCCTTCTTCTCATATGTGGATCCTAGCTTCTAATTGCTAAGTAGGTTTGCCTGGGCAGGAGTAGGGCCAGGGAAGTAGAAATGGGGGGTGGGGCGGGGTAGGGTGGGGAGAAGTTCTAAGGGAAGAGAATGGAGTGGAAGGGAGGAGCCCTGAAGCCCAACAGTGGCGAATAAGAGAATAGGGAGATAAGACTGGAAAGGGGCCAGGAGAATCAGCCAAAATAAAATATGCATGAAAATGTCATCTAGAAGCCAGTTATTTTGTAAGTTAATTTTAAATAGAAATATAAAGTTAAAAGAGTTTTAAAAAGGAAGCGTGAATGTATGGATGATGGAAAGTAAAGAGTGGATGGGTAAGAGATGTTTCAGAGAAAGGTGATCATGGGCTGGACCTTATTAGATAAGGCAGTGTTTCCTTGCCCAAATGACTTCTGTTCAGTTTTTGTGAAAGATGAATTTCATTCACTTTGAAGGTATAGTTAACTGCTAGGTGAATATCGCCTAATTGGATAACTTACTGGAGTGTATAACAGGGATGCTGTGTGCATTAGTTATGCATAATTGAATATAAATTAAGAGCAGCTTTTGCATATGCGTGCCAAGTAGTAGTTCAGAGAAGAACTATATTAATTATACCTAATTAGTTCTAGGTGGCTTTCAGAAAC